GGATATCGACTTCCAGCTCTTTGAGAAATACAAAGACTATCTGCTCGGCGACTTCTGCTATGGGCTACGGTCCAACGAGGCTAGCGGAAGTCTTGCTCCCCCGTGGACCCTGGTGCTATCCTACGAGAACGCTATCCGGAAACAGGCCTACAAGCAGATGGTCCTCAAGGGGATAGCCTTCGCGGACGCGCTAGTCCAGTCCTGGAAGGACGCGGCTACCAAGGAGCGGCACTTCACGACTCCGTTGTCCCTCTGTGCTAAAAGGCCGCAGCCCTGGAACTGGGATAGCACCAACACCCCGCCGGCTAAGCCCAACAAGAAGGGCAAGGGCAGAGGCAAGGGCAAGGACGGCAAGGATAGCAACAAGAAGGCTAAGACCGCTACCTTCCACCGCACCGAGGATGACAAGCCGATATGTTTTCGATTTAATTTGAAAGGTGGCTGCAAGAAAGGGGATAAGTGCCACTTCGTGCATGTCTGCACGAAGTGTCGGGGACCGCATTCGGCTATCAACTGCCCCGGCACGGCTACGCCGTCGACGTCGACAGCGGCCAACTGACTACCGGTGCCTGAGCCGGCTACATCGGCTACACCCGAGGCGACACCTGCACACCGGCGGCTACGAGCTCTCTACCTCTTCTCGGGAAGAGAAAGGCTAGGCAGCTTCCAAAGCCACCTCCGCCGGCTAGTTTCTTCCTTCGGGCTCGACATCGATATCTCTTGTGTGGATCTGGCGAGAAGTCCACCCATTGACCTGGCCACTTCCAAGGAGAGGGCGAAGTACCTTCACAAAGTTCAATCGGGCCACTACGACATCGTGGCTATGTCTCCCCCTGTGGCGACTTTCTCTAGGGCGAGCTCGGCTAACCGTAAAGGTCCCCGGCCAGTCCGAAGCTTCGACGAGCCCAGAGGATTGGCTACACTCACGGCCAAGGAAAGAGACCGGGCTATTCTTGGCAACATTTTTGCTGATTTTTCTTTTGAAATAGCTAGTGCTGCGGTTTCCTCGGCTACCTTCTTCGTCCTGGAGCAGCCAGAAGACCTGGGGGCTATGCCGGCTGGCCCCCACAAAGGCCGGCGACCGGCCAGCATGTGGCAATGGGAGGCTCATGCACGGCTAGTTGGCCTCGGGCTACGTTCGGTGGCCCTGCACCTGGATAACTTCGGGGCACCCTCGGCGAAACCGACACGACTGCTACTGAAGACACCTCTGGAAATGCCGGCTACCGTGCACGAAGGCCTCCCCACTTTCGACAACAATGGCTACTATCTGGGCCCCTTGCCGAAAGCGGCTACTTCATCGACGCCGCAGAGCCCCATGCTGGCTAAGGAGACGCTTGGCGAGTGGCCCTCGAACTTCTGCCGATGGCTAGCACAGTTGGCCCTTGCAACCTGCAGTGCTACTGCTCCGACTGCCTCCGGAGAGGGGGTACCGACTGTGCAGGATAAGGCGAGTTTTGGCGACCTCGACTATGTTACAAACCAACCAGAGGGCCCACGGCTACATGGTGGCACGGGACCCCCCCGCCGATGCCATCAAAACGACGGGATAAAGGAATTCCACGACGGTGGCGGGCTATGCTCTCCTGGGCGCTGGCCCCGACACTCTCGTGGACATGCCGCGGGCGAGTCCTGGGACTGGCTGAGGGCTAAGATCCGGGAGATGGTAACCAGGCGAGTGGGATCCGAGAACGAGCTAGAAAAGGAGGCCTTCCGAATGGCTATGGGAGGCGAGTCGGCCTGCAAGCTCGTCCGGGATAGCCAACTACACGAAGCGACGAAGAGCTACTGCAGCTCCTGCAAGAAGGTCAGGACCTCAGCGAACCTGGCCTACTGGATATTCCTCCTGGGCAGCCCCTTCGTCTACGGCTACTTCGCGCGATCCTCGAGGCAGCTGGCGACCCGGATAGGGACTTCCTCCGTCGGGCTGAGGAGGGACTCCCACTTGGGATATTGGAGGGGCTACCCAGAACACCGCACGTGTTCGAGGAGCAATCCTCTTGGAGGCTAGACAACGCCCCTTGGGAGCCGGCGCTAGCGTGGGTTCCGAATTATTCCTCGGTTAGCGACCACAGGGACTTTGTGCGGGCTAAGTTCGACGAGGACGTCGAGGAAGGCCTCATGGAGAGGATGACCCTCGGCGAGTTCAAGGCGAGGTTCGGCGAGGACCGGGCTATCGCCTCCCTGGCCGTGATAGTCGAGGACGAGGAGAAGGACAAGAAGCGGATAATCCACGACGCGACCCACGGCGTCCGGGTTAACCACCGGATACGCTGTCGGGATAAGATCCGGGCGCCAGGGGCTAGAGAAAAGAAGCAAATCCTCCGAGAGCTGATACGCTGTGGCGAGATTGCCTTTTCGGTCGTGGGGGATATCTCGAAGGCCCACCGGAGATACAAACACCAGGCTAGCGAGCACGGCTTCATGGGCTGCCAGATAGACACCGAGGAGACGATCCCCGGGGACCCGGATAGCCAGATCGTCTACGTCAACAAAGTGGGCACGTTCGGACTCTCGCCGGCTAGCTACTGGTGGACCCGGATAGCCGCATGTGGGCTACGGGCAACCCATCATCTGTTGGGCCCCGGCTATCCCATCGACCTCCTGCTATATGTGGGGATAGGAACGGAGGGGAGAAAGGGTATCCCGTTGAGCTACCTTTTCCTCTCTGTTCTGGGATATCCTTTCAAGTGGGCGAAGACTCGTGGTGGCTATAGGGTGGAGTGGCTGGGAATGGAGACAGAGTACTCCTCCTACAGGCTAGGGATGTCCAAGAAGCGGGCGTCCTGGCTATCGGCGTGGCTAAACGACAAGGTGACCTTCGGCAAAGTCACGGCCAAGGAGATGCAGCAGGGGCTAGGTCGGCTAGGCTTTGCTGCGATAGCCTTGGACTGGCAGAGGCCCTTCTTAGGGCCGCTCCACGCATGGAGCGCAGCCATTCAAGGGAAGTCCGGCTACCTCATCATCCCGACGATGCTCCGGGTGCTGATGCGGTGGCTAGCCGACAAGCTTGACCAAGGAGAGAGGCTACAGCGTCCAGTGACTCTCTACGCCGGGCTACCTCCACTGAGCTTTTTCACGGATGCTAAAGCTGAGTCCGATAGGGCCTGGATAGGGGGCTTCCTGGAGATTTCCGGAGGGAAGCCAGGTCCCTGGTTTTCCCTAGAAGTGGATAGGGCCTGGGCTCCGTGGGCCTTTGCCAAAGGCGACCCCAAGAAAGTGATAGCTGCGCTAGAACTGCTAGCGACCCTCGTGGGGATACGTCTCTGGGTCCCCGAGGGCGAGGATAGGAAGACCTCGCGAGTGGCCATCCGCGGCTATACGGATAACAAGTCCAATGAGGCACTTGTGAAGAAGGCTATGACGACCAAGTATCCCTCCATGCTAGTTTTAATGGAGATAGCAGAAGAGCTATCCCAGAAAAACTGTGAGCTACAGCTCCAGTGGATACGGAGAGACATCAACCAGCTAGCGGATGACCTTACAAACGAGGAGTTCAAGGAATTCGATCCCTCTCAGAGGATAGATCTGAAAGGAGAGGAATTCCAGTGGCGTGTTCTGGGCCGGCTACTCGCGCATGCAGATAGCTTCTACCAGGAGCTAGGCACGCGAAAGCGAGGGACCCCGGATAGGGTGTCCAAGTTTAGCCGTAAGGCCAGAAAGCTAGATCCCTGGTAGCCTGAGTGGCGATGCGTGGGGATAGATAGCCGAAGGCTATCAGTTATCTCCAGGCAACCTGGGATAGTTGCCACTCCAGACAAAAGAACGTCCGTGCTAGCTGTGTTGCTTGTCCGTCTGGTCGTCGCTCGGCTAGCTCGCTAGCTATCTACTTTCGCACTACTATCGTCCTGGTGGAGTTCCGGGGATGGTGGTGGGATATAGGAGCTAGTGCACGTACCTCGTGACGAGGAACGAGTTACGACTATGTGTGCTAGCTTACCTATTACTACTCGAAGCTATCGAAGGTAGCTTCGCTAGAAACGGAGTTTCGTTCGCTATCGTCGCTCGCAGGAGAGTTGCCTCTGACATGCGAAGACAGGATAGCAGTGACTTGGAATGGCTACGACGGTGTGTGACCGTGGCCATTCTGGATAAAGTCCCCCATCAGGGGGGGTAATTTTGAAGTACCCACCCTGCCCACCCTGGGGATAGATAGCCGAAGGCTATCAGTTATCTCCAGGCAACCTGGGATAGTTGCCACTCCAGACAAAAGAACGTCCGTGCTAGCTGTGTTGCTTGTCCGTCTGGTCGTCGCTCGGCTGGCTCGCTAGCTATCTACTTTCGCACTACTATCGTCCTGGTGGAGTTCCGGGGATGGTGGTGGGATATAGGAGCTAGTGCACTGGAAATGTTTCAGAGGTAGACAGCAGTCAGGAACTACCAGAACACGAAGTGAGCATGTATAGGAGTGCCGTTGGTATCCTCCTTTACATTGCCCAAGATCGACCTGACATCCAATTTGCAGTGAGAATTTTGAGCACTGGCATGAAGTCCAACCAAGAAGAAGCAGCGAGAACTTGAACACTGCTTTGTACTTGAAGAAGACAGCAGACTACTCGGTGTGTTACAGCCCAAAAGCAGCAGGAACTTCAGCACTTCACCGACAACCTCAAGAACCACAACCTCAACAAGAGCAGCAAGAAGAGAACTTGGTGGAGGTTTTCATAGATGCAGACTGGGCAGGCAACAAAGAAACAAGAAAGTCTGTTTCATGTGCTGTGATGTTTATTCACGGCCAGTACTGTTACAGCTACAGCCGTACCCAGAAGACTATCTCCTTGTCATCTGCAGAGTCAGAGTACTATGCTCTGTCTGGTGGCGTGAGCGAGTCACTTGCGATTCGAGAAGCAGTTGAGTTTTGCAGCAAGAAGCGTACAGTTCTCAAAGCCTACACAGACTCCAGTGCAGCAAGAGGTATTGCAGCAGGAAGTGGACTTGGTTCAAGAAGCAAGCACATACAGACACGCATGTTATGGCTTCAGGAATGTGTCAAGTCGGGCATGGTCACGATCAGTGCAGTTCCGACCATGATGAACCCGAGCGACATCGGCACGAAGGCTTTAGGAGCTGGAAGGTTGAGACTTCTTTTGAACCTTTTGGGTTTTCGTGACGGTCGTGATGCCATTGGCACCACGGAGCGAGAAGAAGCAGAACGCAGTCTTGTTTTGAGGAGAGTTGCAGCAAGAACCAACAGCGCAGTAGCAAGAACCTTTGCGACGCTTGCAGTTAGCATGTTTTGCCCTGTCAGTGATGGTTTGAAGCAAGAAGGTGTGGACTCAGAGTTTTCAGTGCAGCGAGCACATGTTCACGCCGCGCAGCCTCAGAACAGCCTCGAGAGCAGCAGGAACGCCAGGTTTTCCCTGTTCGTCGCCGCCATGGACGGCGCAGGAGCTGGAACACCCGCCGGCACCGAGAACAGCGGCGGCAGTGTCCTGGGAGTGCTCTTCGTAGTGACCGTGGTGTGCGTACTTGTTTTGTTGGTTTACGTTCTGTCTGAGCTGAAGCAAGAGAAGAAGAAGAGAGAGGAAGACAAGAAGAAGAAGCGAAGACAGAAAGAGAAGAAGGCCAAAGGAAAGAAAGAAAAGGAAAGCGACGAAAGCGAAGGAAGCACAACACAAGTTCAGGAAGCACCAAAAGAAAGAAGAAAGAAGAAGAAGAACAAAAGAGAAGAGAAGAGGAAGAGAGAGAAAGCGCCAGGAAAGCAAAAGAAGCCAAACAGATGGAAGAAGAAGACAAAGCAAGAAAAGAAGCACAGGAGAAGAAGCTAGCAGAGGAGAAAGCAGATAAGGAAGAAGAGGAAAGGCGCAAGGACGAAGCACGAAGAGAAGAAGAGGAGAGAGAGCAGAGAAGAAGAGAAGCACTGGTCCAGGAGCAGCAAGATCTACGAGGACTTGCCGAAGCCCTTCAGCAGGACGACAGCTTTGACGCAGCAGCCAGAAAGCTAGCAGAAGCCACCAAGCGTGAAGAAGTCACTAAGGCCAAAGAGAAGGAAGCAAAGAAGAGAGAAGAGGACGAGATAGCAGCGAAAGGGTTGATGATGTTGGTAGGTCAGACCGACGACCTCCTGGAGAAGATCACCGCGTTGCAGAAGTTGGTTGCGCAAAGAGAAATATCTCTAGGAGAAGCAAAAGCAGAGAGAGACTACGCCAACAGCAAGATGATAGATGCCAACAAGAGAGCAGAGACAATGCGTGACGAGTGGAAGCAAGCAGAACAAAAGCTTCAGGACGTTTTGAACCAGAAGGAGTACCTGGATAGCTTGATAGCAAAGGAAGCAGAAAGCAAGGAGGCAGCAAAGAAGCTAAAGCAGGAGAATGAAGAAAAGTTTCAAAGAACGGCGGACCAGCGTGCCGAGGATATGAGGAATGCCATGATTAGGTCAAGGAGAGAAGAGGAAGCAAGGCAGAACGAAGATGGCAGAGACCCAGCAGCCAGCGGGTCGAGCGACCCACAGCCGCAGCCGCAACAGCAGCAAGGAAAGGAGCAGCCAGAACAACAGAAAGGAAAAGGAAAGCAGCCACCGCCACAGCCAAAGGGAAGAAAAGGAGAAGAGCAGCAGCCCAAAGGAAAAGGAGAAGAGCAGCAGCAAAAGGAGAAGGAAAGCAGCAGCAGAAGGAAGAGAAAGGTAGCAAGAAGAAAGGAAGCACAACAGGAAAAGCCTACAACAACTGTGTGACGTTCACAGAAGCAGGATTCATATGGATGTACAACAAGGATCTAGGACTCTACAAGTGTTTGAGAGCAGATCAGAAGGGGAAGCGAGAATGTGGACCACTACGCAAAGGGATACACCGCGTGGAGAGCAGAGATCGAGCACTTTAAGCGTACCGGGAAGTGGGAGTCAGCAGAGTGGATCCAGAAGCAAGAAGAGAGAAGACGTGCCCAGGAGAACGAGTACAGCGAGACTCCCCCGGAACAGGAACGTCACCGCGAACAAGAACACCAGCAGCAGGAAGAGCCTTACGACCACACCGGATGGTCGTGCTACCCGGACACCAACTGGACGCAAGGTCCCACGCAACCAGAAGTTCAGCAGCCCGAACCTGCGCAGCAAGAAGAGCAGACGCAGGACGTGCACGGAGACCAGTGGGAAGGCGAGCAGTACTGAGTACTGGGACCCAGCAACAGGAAACTGTTGGGTCTGGGAAGACGGAAAGTGGAAGCAGACGTGGCCGCCAAGAGGTTCCACGTGGAGCGAACGCAGAGGCAAAGGCTACCAGTAGTAGCAAGAACAGGGTCGACGACTACAAGCAGTGACGCCCTGTACATATGTATATTTGTATAGAGAAGTTTTCGCAGCGAGTTTTAGAAAGCAGTCAGAAGTTGTACAGAGAAGCTACGCACCACAGCTTTTTTTTGTACATTAGTTTATGTACCGAGAAGCAAAAGCACAACGAGCACTACGTTCTTTTGTTGTCAAGCAGGAACAAGAGTACCTCCTGCGAAGTCACCACGAAACACGTGACCCAGAGTGTCCTTGAACAGCGAAGCTGTATCAAGAATGTACAGTAGGTACATAGAAAGAAGTTTCACCGAAGGCAGGTTAGGAGGTACAAGGGCCAGAAGCGGCAAGAAGCCTGAAGAGCCAAGAACAGAAGACAAGAAGCCCGAAACAAGAAAAGCCCGTAGGCTAAGTAAGGGCAGAGAGAAACCGGGGTACGGGCCTCCCCGCAAAGAGCACATAGGCTGTGCCGTAACTAGAAGTAGATGTACATAGTTTTTGTACATAGCCCTTTGTACAGAGAAGGGAAACATTTCCGCAGAAAGCCTTGGTAAAAGACCGTAGCAAGAACGGAGACGAAAAGTCCCAAGGTAGCCACAGTGTCCAGAAAGCGGAAACCCTTCTACGTCTTGTGCACAGTCGTAGCAAGAAACACCCAAAGCTACGAAGCCTTTCCGAGGCGGGGTGTTAGACTGTCACTGTTTACCGTGTACTGTATAGAGAATGAAGTAGTGGTGCAGTAGGAAGTGTCCAAGCACGAGCTGAAGCAGTGCGAACCCGGAAGGCTTTGGCTCAGGACCGAAGTGAGAAAAAGTCGCGCGCAGTACATAACTACAGTAGAGAGAATCGAGCCATGGTGGTTCGAATGATTTTCAACAGTGGGGGCTGTGGTGGGGTTCTGGTGGGTGTTTGCAATTGATGACCATTCTAACCACTCACGAGTGCTCGTGAACACTACATCACTCAGGCCAGTCACTCTAAGTCCAACCTTAGTGACTTAATGTTTTCTCTTCCACTCCTTAAAACCCTCTTTGTCATTCCCTAATAAAACCCTAAATACCACCCCAAATCCGTGACCCCCCCAAACCCCTAAACCCTAAGCCCTAAGCTTCTAAACCCTATCAAGAAGCAAGAAAGAAACAAATCCAGGAAGGCTTGCGACAAATTAAAGCGAAGGGAGAAAGTAATGAGTCGAAACCTCAGGTTCAAGGCTAGTCCCTGAGTCCTCTCAGGTAAGGGAGACGAAATTTTCCCGAAATGTGTGGTTCAGGCCTGTGGGTTTAGGGCTTAAGGGCTTATTCACCCAGAGAAACGAAATTGTCCCCAAATATTATGTGTGGCATGTTTGGCATGTCGTCACATCCTCAGACCAACCCTTACTGAAATTTCCCAAATACTTCTTAACTCTGATGGATAACAACTCAATGACCTACACTATCTATCCCCAGCTCAGAGCTCAGGGAGACGCTTATCGTCCTCGACTTCGAGAAGCCCCCTCTGCCCTCTGGTGTCGGTGGCCTTGGAAATCCTGAAGTCGGTGGGCGCCATCCTGCATCAGTCGCCCAAGCATACACTGTTCCTGAAATACCCCGTGAAAACGAGGAACTGCTGCCAGAAGACCCATTTCAACTTTGTTCGCAAAATGGAAGATGCCCTGATGAACCACAGCCTAAACATCGACAACTGCATCAACATCGTGTTTGACACCTCCCAGGTTCAGGGGAACGACTCCAGAAAGGGGCGGCGCCGGCACGCCTCATTATCTCCGGTAACTTCCCAGATTCCCCTTGGTTCAGCTGCCATGCGATGGATGCCCGCATGTGCATCCCGAATGTTGCGCTGGTATCCTTTGGGCAGATGCGGCCCGTGCCGCATGCAAACACGCTCTCCGCCGGGAACGTGCATCGCAGCTTGGCAGCAGGGCATGGGAAACCATGCTCAAGGCCCTCTCATGCGGGAGGAAGGACAGGGCGGTGCCGGGGAAGGACACGAAGATCCTCGTAATCGATCGCGACGTGATGGAGGCTTCCTGGTCGCTCTACCAAAAGTGGAACACGCAGGGCGCAGATACTCCAGAGTTTGCGGCCATGTGTGCTTACGTGGAGAAGGAAGACAGCGACAAGTCCAGGAAAGATGGCCTTTCAATTCAGTTGACCGGACACCTTTTTGCGCACATGGTGGGAGCAGTCCCCGCAATCCGGTGACGCGGAGCCCAGCCGCAGCGATTCCACAACGGTAAGAAAACCCGAACTGAAGCTTCGATCCTCCTACCGTCCTAATAAGTTTGCCAATACTGTCCTGCACCTAATCTTGTTGCATCCTCTACGTTACGTTAGTGCAAACGGGTTCTCACCAATGCATTATCAAGTGTATCCACCCTATACGTCAGTGAACACTGAATAGTTATGATTCGTTCTTGAAGGAATAAACAAATAGCACGTCAACCCACAACCGCTCCTCTCAGTGAGAATTTCAGCGACAGGCTCCGAACGATCCACCGCCACTGCGGCCTTGCAAGAAAATCGTCGGTTCGGATGGCAACACCTACATCCTCGTGCGCTACACTGCCCGCGGGCTTCACGCGATTAAGTGCAAGGAGACCAAGAAACAGATGCTTCAGGTGTCTTGTCATCGTGATGAGAGGTTTCAGATAGTGGGAGAACAAAGGCAACCGGAGGTCAGTGCTGATATCGCGACGTCCCACCATGAAAACTCAGTGAACTTAGTTTCTAGAAGAGAAATTTGCTGGACCGACTTTAGTTTAGGGGTTCAGGGCTTTGGGGCTTCGGGAGTTTGGGTTTGGTATTGCTCTGCTTATTGAGTTAGATTGGCTTTGGATTTTGCGTTGGTACTGGGAGGGTTACAACTTAGGTTGTCGTTGGATGTTGCACTGCTTATTGGGGGCGGGTTACAAGTTAGATTGGCTTTGGATGTTGCTCTGCGTGTGTTGGGGGGTTACAACCTAACCTAAACTTGGGATGTTACGGTGCTTATTGTTACTGGGCGGTCTTTACAACTTAGATTGGCTTTGGATGTTGTGCGCAAGATTAATAGTGATTGGAAGACAGCACCCCTTCAAACCTTGGAGTCGTAAACCCCTCGGCCCAAACAGGGGAGCCGTCTGAGGCCTTTTACAGTGAGCTTCTTAGGAGGCTGGACAGGGATGCCGCGCATCCGGCCCTATATGTGCAGAATGATGACACGCCGACAACTCGGGGGAGCTCCACTGACCTCAAAGAGATCAGTAGGACGTGGTATATAGCTCTCTTTTCTAAGCCGCAATAGACGGCCGCCGCCTTGGGAAGCGGCAGTAGTAGTCCGGCGTGCCTAACCAGGCCGTTCCTGTATCCATCAGTGACTACAAGGTTCTGGCACAAGACAGCGTAGATCGTCCCTTTCCCTATCCGTGCCGCCATGGTACCAGCTTCGCGCGAACCGCAGGATTGCCACTACGTCCCGCAGTGATTGACGTTACGACTTCTTGCCGGTTGCCAATACAAGCACAGGCGCCTGACCGTCCACTGCAGGTCGGTACTCAATTCCACCGCTACGATGATCAGATTATCAGTGGAGGATGGGCTCTCCTTAGACTTTTCCCACCTGACCATCAACATCGACTGGTATCACGCTTTCCAACAAATTATTCTGGAGGTTTTATGTGGGTCTGAATGTCATCCCGCACTCTATTTCCAGACCGATGTGGGAGTGGTGTGCCTCCCTACGTTTGTTCCACTTGACCCTGCCGCTTTTTGCCTACGTGTTTTGCCAAACATGGGAGACCGGTGGCTCCCAATGACGCAACCGGAAACCTCTGGAACATCCCATCAGACTGTCAGGTCTGCAGGCGCATGTCTACACCGTACGACGGGACACACTTCTGGATGACCATACATATGATCTGTCAAAGCTTGCACAGCAACCTCCCACTGGATGACATTGACTCCAACTTAGCAATTGCCCCGTTTGAAGTATTGTTAAACATTCTGCCAGGAACAGTAACACAGCTAGTGCAGTACAGTTAATGTACAGGAACAGCCGTCACGCACACGCGACGTGCAGGCTCGAGACCCCAGGACACACCGTGCCCAGGAACAAAAGTGTCCGACAGTCTTTGTGGGTAGGAACCCTTAGTGAAGCCCGTTCTTTAACATGGTAGCGGAGCTGCCTCCAGGAACCTCCTTGGCAGCGATGATGCTACTCGTAGCCATAGGAACCATGATGCTCGGCGCCATGGCAGTTTGCCTCGTTGCCGGATGGAAGCAGATGCGCGCAAATGAGCAGATCACCAAGAAGACGGAGACAGTGCTCAACATGCCCACGCTCAGGATCGCAGTCCGTTCAGGAACAAAGTACCACCGCAGAGGTTGTGGACACCTTCGCAACCACAACGTGA